GATAACATTGTTTTTTTTTTTTTTGTGTGGATGAATGAACATGAAAATAGAAACGTTGAGGGAACGTGATTAGATAAAGTCTGTTTGTCTTTTGTAAGCGATTTACATATTTGAATATCTGCACCGAAAAAAATTAATCAAAATATTTTATTAACGTGGAATAATCTGCACTTAGGAATAATTAAAAGCAGTACTTGAATAAAAAGCTTGATTAAAAAACCATACATTTTAATAATTCATAGGATCTTTGTGTTAAAGTGAGGGAAAATGCACATATTTTTCGCCAAAGAAAAACTCCCCTTCTCAAAGATGAGATCTTGAAGTGGCTAAAACGAATGAAATTATGCACCAAATTATACCGCCATAAAGGCCTCAATTCAAATGAATCAAAAAGTTCGCGAGCAATTAATTCCAGGCGAAACAACAACAAAAATCAACGTCGGGCTGTAAAAATTTATGAATGAATAAAGCAGAATCAGGCGAAAAACCGCCGAAAGGCAAAAGACAGACTGGGGGAAAAAAGTAACAATAAAAAGGCAAAGAAAAATAAGCAAACAAAACGAAAATCACAAATAGTAAGTGAGTACAAAGTGGCGTGCATATGAAATATAAAACAGGCGATATATCCAACTACAAACGCACAAATCTACATACACACATGTCTCTGAATATGAATGAATGAAAAATTGTAGAAGCAGCAGAACTACAGCAACAAAAACAACAACAAAAGTTGTTAACGCAGCAGTTCCACGAACCAAAAAAACAAAACCCCAAAAAAAAACCAACGACAACCGCAGAAGACGGGAAAAAAGATCTGTGAACAAGAAATTTGAAAGGTAACAAAAAACTGAAATTAAAACAAAAAACTTAAATCAGAAACACGAGCAAGTGTGTGTTGGCAACTCGTTTTCCAGTTTTCCATTTTTCCATTTGCAGCAGCTGCCCACAAATTGTGCGTGGAGTGGAAGGGGAGGGGATTGGAAAGGGGGAGTTCAAATTATGAATAAATAAGAAGTTGGTCCAAGAGCGAACAGCTAAAAATCAAAATAAATACACAAAAGCAATAAAAACAAAATTGGGATAAACTACAATTTTCTGGAGTTGAATTTGTGATACTCTTATTGGTATGTAAAAACTGCCTAAATAAGAACAGAACAAAAGTTACTTAAGATACTCCGCAGACCTTCAGTATTTTGATTTTTTAGTAGCTTTTAGCTTTTCTATTGCGGATTTTTAATTAGTAACCAACGCCTTCTTTTAACTAAAACACTCTTAAAAACAGGGTATAAAAAGGCAACAACGACTGCATTTGGACTTCAAGCCAAAGTCAGCGACGCGCCCACGGGCAGAGAAAAAGCAGCGACAGAGGGGAAGAGAATGAGGGAGAAGCTGGAGCGATGATAAAAGAGGAGCCCCAAAAGACAAAGCCTGAGAAAAGAAGAAGAGAAAGAAGCCGGTTTGCAGGAACCAGCCTAGAAAAAGACGAAGAAAAGAAGGAAGAAGAGGAAGAGAGAGGGTTGCAGGCACACGCAAAAAAGGAAGGAAACAAACAACAAGCCCCAATGACAGAGGAAACAACAACAACAACAGCAACAACAAAACCCCGAGGGAGAAAGGGAGACAACAGCAAAAAGATACACTCGTCGTTGGCTTTTGATTCCCATTTTCATTCCCCCCATTCATCAACTGCATTTTAATTTTTTTTTAGTTTTCTTTGCTTTTTTTCGAGAACCAGCTAGTTTTTTGCTTTTTTTTTTGGTTGCCTGGCGAGTATGAATGAAAACGAACGTGTTTCTTCGAGAGAGAGAGAGGAACCAGCCCCAAAAAGAGAGCCCCAGAGAGCGCTGGGGAGCAGCGCCGCTGACAGCGACGCCGACTGCGCGGGGATGAATGAAACGAGCGCCAAAATGAATGAAAGTTGTGGGGATCGCGCAGTCGACGTCGCCGCCAACATCGGCAGCAGGCTCTCTCTTGAATATTCTCCCTCGCTCTTTTGGTGGGGATCTGTCTCTGAGAACCTAAATTTTTATATTTTTTTTACAAATCATAGCGCACATATTTAATAAGCAAAAATTTAATTTGCTTTATTTATTGTTTCGTTTCGTTCGTTTCGTTTTATTTCTTGTTATTTTCAAAGTTTATGATTAATGAGAGATGATTAAGGCGTTCAAGTGTGCGTGTGCCCGTGTATCTGTGTGCGCATATAATTAAAATAAGGGCAGCCTTTTGCGTACACTTGGAATACAGATCGAAATTTGCAAATTTTAAAGCTTAAAAAATTTGTTTAACTTGAGAAACATTTTTTATTTAAAGTAAAGTTATCTTGTTTATTAGTTTTTAAAAATAATTCAAAAACAAGAATGATTTTTTATTTTAAATCAATTTTTATGCAAAGTGTATCTTTCGTCCCCATAATGTAAACTAAATTTACGTGCCTGGCCCTCGATCTTTCTCTGCTTCTTTTGGCCCGCGATGTTCCCCCTTTTTTTATGTGCCATCCCCATTTTCCATTCAGCATCTGCGCAGTTGTCGCCGTTTTTGCATGTTTTTTCTGCCTTTTTGTTTTAGTTTTTGTGATTTTATATTTATTTTTTGTTTCTGTTGCCATTTAATGGCCGCGATCTTCTAGCGACGAGCGAAAAGTTCAGGCTGCCAGTCGTTTTCAGTAAGGGACTCGCCTGGGTCCCACATACATATGTCTAAATACATGCAGAGGTACGTAGGATTGTACATATGTACATACCACTATGTAGGCTCCGCAGGGTGGACCAGTAAAAGGTCAGCTCTCGGAACATACAAAAGAGTGCGTAATATAATATTAATTGTTTATATGTACTATCAAAATATACATGAGTATAAAAAAATATAGCAAAGCAATCGAAAAGGTAAAATATTTAAGTTTTAAGTTCTTAGCTTGGGTCACCATTACGTATGAGTGATTCATTCTCGGAGTAAATTCGGATCTGTTTTTTTACATCCAATTTAGGTCCACCCTTTTGTACACTACACATTTGTATATTTAGTTGGGCACTGACTTTAGTCTTGGGTTTGCGTTGACATTGAAATTGTTTGCGCTTTGTTGATCTCTACGCAGCGATAAGACATAAATACATAAATACTTTTTACGTTTTCGGGTTTCTTTTCTTTCGGCGACTGCTCTGCTGCCTTCAGCAAAAAACTGAATCCCCGACGAAATTTGTGTTATTTGTTTTTATAAACATTAAACAGCGTTAAAATCTTTTCAATCCCTGCGATTTAGACAGATGGCAGTGCATTGTTTTCGATGATTGCCATGAATGAGATACTAAGCTACTGAGATACATACTTAAATGCATTTAAAGAATGGGAATGTATTAAATTAAATTTTTTAAAAATTCTTAGTTTTCTGTGCAAATCCCATTTAAGCTAAAATGGTAATAACAACCAAAGTTCTTTCCTAATCATTAAAAATTCCTTAAAGTTTTAAACAATATATAGAAATAAATAAGTGCAGAGTGATATCAAGTCTGGTTTCAATTTCAACATCGAGCTTACGATATCGCCTAAGCGCTATCCGAAAAAACCGAGAAATTCCCATTATTAACACATATTTTGTACATTGTTCTCGCTTCGCGAACAAGAGGGCAAAAGATGCATAACAAATTACCATAAAACGTTGTCCGATACATGAAATCTCTTTCTGCCCCGGCTGTGTGTGAAATAATAGATAAAATATACTAGACACATGCCATAAGAAAAGCAACAAAAACCAACAACAACAGCAGCGGCAGCAGCAGCAGCGACAACGATGTTTTGTCACATTACGTATACGACGAGTTGACAGAGTGAGTGAGTGAATGACTGACGTATTGCCTGATTGACAGCAGCAGCGGAGGGAACAAGGTAGTGCTGCACATTTTGAGATATATTTATTTCGAGTATTTCAAATGCAAATGTATTCCGCGCGCACAGATCTCGTTTTTTTAGAGGGGCATTTAAAGGAGCAAATGAATGAATGAATGAATGAATGGGTGAGTGAGTGAATGAGTGCGGGAGGGACTGGCTGAATGAGTCTGTGTAAGTGTAAGTTCGCTTGGCACTCTGCCGGGGGGTTTTTGGTGGGGAGTTGTTCAGGAACCGAAGGGGCCGGGCCCACCGGAAACAAACGACGTGACTTTTCACTGAAATATGAACCCAACTATGCGAATGCTTGGGAATTATGTATATTCCGTTTACTATATTATTATAAATACACAGGATGATATGCTTTAACAAACGATCCCACACACTGGCCAAATATCTTTCTTTGGCTTTGTTTCTTTTTATTTGCGTTTTTTTATTCCAGCTACATGCTTTTGTTAGCTTATCTTATCGCCAAATTATTTGGCTCGCTTTTTTGCTCACTCTCTGTCTCATTTTATCGCTCGGTTCAAAAAATAATAATAAAGTCGCAAAAACAACCAACCATATATCGGTCGGTTGCAACGAATACAATATATCCTTCGGTGACTAATTCGATAAGGTCCACACAACATTTAATTAGGGTTTTTATTGAAGTATAATAAGTAACAAATACTAAAATGAACATATTATCATCGTTTTTCATAATCAACAAACAATTTTGTTTATTCTAAGAAGTTTCTTTTCCACAATTATTGGAATTTCTGATTAAGGCAGAACGTATATAAACAATGATAATCTAGCTGACTAATATACATAAGATATACACACACAAAACTTATATGAGTCAAGATACGGCCATAACGCCACGCAAGTATAATTGTTGAACATTTGCTCTTCAACAACATTTTGCTCTTCAATTATACCATTTCTTGGAAATCTGTTATCAGAACTCGCCAGACCTCGAAATGCCATTCAACAAACAAAAAATATGAAGAGAAAAGGCAAGAAAAATAGTTATAAAAGAATTCGAAACCGATATGGCAAAATGGGTTGTCGCTTGGCCAGTGTAAACAATTCGCACATTATGTTGGTTTTATTATTGCGGGGATTTCACTTACCCAACGAATCTTGATCTGAGTTATCCGACAAACTGAAGAGTTCTCGATGGTGAGATCCGTGGATCGGCTCCTCCTTGATGAAAATGTTTTTTGACTGTAAATATAAGGATATTATAAGATTGATATATTATATTGTTATATTTTTTGTGTTCATGAACTTATATTCTCATTCTAAATGCGCCAAAAAGAAAATTGTTGTTTATAAAATAAATGACGATATTGTAATATATTCAAATGTTTTTGAAGGCAGCTAATTTTTAGGAATTGACTAAATTATTTTCCCAGATTCCAACTCTGCCTTGATTGACGTTTTGAAGAATCATTTACAGATGTTAATCTCCGCATTTAGTTGTTAATTAGAAAGCAATATATTAAGCCCGATCAATCCATCACTTCTGTTTGTTATTCCTTGCCCAGAACGTTCCCCCCCGAATCCATTTGCATCTTTTATTTTTCCCCAAAGAGGTGTTCTTTCCCCTCAGCCCCCTTTCCTCCGAACCGAACCAGAATGCGCCACAGTCAACAAGGCATTCATGATTGTGTTGTACATATTTATAAACAAGCCACTTTTACCCAATTACAAAATGTGTGTGCTCCCCTCGTTCGGAAGAGAGAGTGTAACGTAAAACTGAGACTCGGGCACAACAATCAGAGCTACAATAGCGCCAAGTCGCGGCATAGATTGCCGGCAATTGACAGTGGACTGCCCCAATGTGATGGCGAACGCAGAGAGTTCCATGGGTCCGATCATCACGCGTTCTAATAAATTGAATTGTACGTTTGACTCGCAAACACAGAAGAACACTGGCGAAGGGGAGACTGCGGGTCGCTTAATGATAATGGAGGTCAGCGTAGTCAAACGAAATGCTCTGTAAATATCGTAATCAATTTCTGGGCGAATCCCCAGCCAAATTCACAATTTGATTTGGAACCCAATTTCTGGCTCTACGATCCACAAGTCTTCAGTTACGTGGCGGGGGGAAATGGAAACCCAAAACTTGGATCCTCTGAGGCCAGACACTCTAGATCGGATTACCTGGCTGCATTTTCCAAGCGACTGAGCATGCGCATGTCCTTTTTGGGGTTTTTCTTTTTTTCTTTGTAGGTTTTTACGTTGACGGGGAAGGGATCAGGCTTGGGGTCAGGCTGTTGGCCCCGAAAGACCGGATGAAAGTGGTCAACGGCTCGGCGGGCCAACGGATATGCTTACCGCAGGCGATGTGTCAAATGCCTTCACTCGGGACCTGTCACCGGTCGTCAAGTTCATATAGGACACAAAGAATCCGGAGAGAGTGGGAAAAAATGAGCAGAACTGACTTTGATAGCCGAAGAATCAATCACCCTTGGTTTTGCAGGGATATATACCGAAATAATTGAGAAATAAGATAGGGAAGTTGACCTAAGGCCTCTTAAATTCGATTTTATATAATTTTTTATTTTTTATGATTTTTTAAAAAATAAATCAATTAATTCTGTATCAAGAGCGTGACAAATAAGGTATTCTGATCATTATAAAACGTTTCCATCTTATTATTACCTTTTGAAAATGGTATTTAAAGAGATAAAAGAAAAGGTGCTGAGGAAAAGGGAACTGCAACCGAGGAAGCCTTACGATCATGGGTCCCATTGTTGGTTGTTTGACTTTTTTTTGGACGATTGCGTATTTTTCAAGGCGTAACAACTTATTACAAATTTTGATCAGGCCTTTCGTCTATTCAGATGCGTCACAAGCCAATGAGCCAAGTGGCACGCTTATGGCTTTTATAGCAAAATAAACAAAAGATGGTTTACACAAAAGATTCCAAAGGAATGCAACCGAATCAGCTACACCCTCACTTTGAATACTCCCATGATCAGCAGAAGATTATTCCCCAAATTCTGTTTTGCCTTAGAGTCACCCGCAAAAGTAGGGTGCTAATAATTGCGAATAAAACGATGCAAAGCATAATACATAATAATTGCGTTTTGTTTGGTCTACCAAATTTAGAATGCGCTCTACGTGATCTGCATTTGAAAGGGGGATCTCGCTGTCATTGGGGCTCCAACTGCAGTGCCTGTCAAACTGGCTTTAGAAACCGATGGACAGGCTATCGATCACTTGATCAGCAAATTCACTTATACGTAGTTATATATAGAAATTATAGATTTATGCAGCCATCGATCAGCGACGTGCAGTCGCGGCTACCTAGTTTTAAATGAGCCAAGCGAGGAGCTTTTACCAATCTTAAATTGAATTATAATACTTATGATTATTAGGAGGCAAGGAATATCTAGGTTAAAGGTTGTTTGAGAAATATTACTCCTTATTATTTTTGCAAGGAAATAACTTAGATTATAAACCTTTTATTAAAAAGCCATCAAACGGAATATGGAATCCAAAGAATGTTCCGTTCAGTAAAATCAATGACTCCATAGATTTCTGTTGATTATGCACAACGCCCACTGGACGATCAATTTACAAAATTACAGCCTAATCTAGTTTCGAAAATTCCTTTACTCACCTCAACTAGGCTGGGCAGAAATGTGACTTTGCGGTTCCTCTTGAGCCTCATGTTGCTGTTTTGGCCCGATTGGCTGCTGCTATTGTTGGTACCGTTGTGGATCGACGGAGTGCCCACCGAACTGTGGTGGCTGCTGGCCGGCGTTTTGAACAGGTGTGCGTGGTGGAAGAGCTCTTGGGCCGCCTTGTCGAGGAAGGAGCTAGCCGTTGCAGCGACCGCCGATGAGTTTCCAATCGCCGCGGATGGGGGCAAGGCGGGCGGCAGCATAAATTTCGAGGCAGACAGATCTGTTTTACAAATCGCCAATTCCATATTGCGCAGGCATCTAGAGGGGCGAACGAAACAATAAAAGAAACAATTAGCTGGCTGGTTCAATAAACAAATCTCTGCAATTATTATACTGCGGAATGGGTGTGAGGTGTCTTAATTATCGCTCAATTATTGGCTTGTTTCCTCTGGCTTTATTGGTCCTCGTTGGCACCTCCCACTCCGGCGTTCGCACCTCTTTCACGGCCCAGTCCTCCAACATTGTTGACTCAAGGAATTATGACACTTTTTTTTTTCTCTTAGCCGACAGTCAGTGCAACATCAAAAGCGTCCGCCACCTTTAAAACCGACCACAACAAAAGGAGCCGACGCCGCAGTTTGCATATGAGCACGCTTTTATTTTGTTTACACAGCACAGCATCCATCATATGGGGAGGATAGAGACCCAAGACCAAGTCAAAGGGTTTCAATTTTCTAAATATATTTCTAATGGGTTTCGTTCTCTTTCGAGTTCTCAAATATTTGCCCTGGCCAAGCAGCGGTTGATGATCATGGAGCGATGTGATGTGACTTTCAAAGGAAACACGAAAAGTTACTTTGAAGTGACGCCACAACGAGATCGAGCAGGAAGATCACACAGGTTTTTTTTAGGTTTTATTCCCTATATGTTGCCCAATTAGTGTACTAAGTCCCTTGGCTTTAGAAGGGGGACATTCCCATAATATTAATTAGAGTTTTTCAAGTAAAGTTCTTTAGCAAATAAAAGTATTTCAGTAACATTCTGTTCTTCTTAAATCACTTTCAATTCATGATAACAATATGCAAGAGCTTGTCCTCCATTTGTCAATCTTTTGAATTAAATATGTTTTTATACGGAGCACATTCAAATTCAAAACGAATAACAATAATTCTTAGGCAGTTTTATCAACGGAAGTGAGTTGGATAAGCCTTTGAGAGGAGAAGAGCAGAGCAGCATGAGGGTGCTCCAACTTGCTCCACCAGAAGCCACTATAAATAACACGGACCCGCGATAATGTCGAGTAATTACGCTTTAATATGATATTTACATTAAATTTGTTTTGGGTGATAAAAACAACATAGAGATAAGAAAAGAGAAAAGGCTTTAACCTAAAAAACAGGAGGACAAACAAACGATAATCTCAAGACAAAACTGAATTGTAAGATTAATTAAACTATAGTTGTATGGTATTGTGTAAACTAAGTGTAATCCTAAAGTTCGTAGGACGTTCTAGTTATATTATTCCATATCTTTTACGTCCCCCACATATGTATGCATATATCTAGAACGATTTCTGAGGAGTATCTTTGAGCACTGGCTGCCTAATTAGATACGTTATGCAAATGTGTAGATACTGTCGTCGCTTCGGTGACGATTTCGCCAAAGTCCGTCTCCCTCACTCTTTAAGTATGTATGTGTGTGTGAGTGGCCAACAGTTATCTAGCCGTCTTATCAGCCATGTACATACACAAATGTAAATCTGCGGTATATATTTAAGTCCGTATGGGTTGAAGAAATTTAGCCATATTCACACTGAATAAAACTGAGTAAAAATAAAGCGATGAAAAGGGGGAATACCGATTATCGTTAAGGCTTCGATTTTATTAAAGATTCTCAAGTACTGTATTTATCAACAACAGGTTTGTTAATTTTTCAGAGGACAGAACTGAAACTGTTTTGCAATTAGAATAACTTTGTACATGGTAAAAGGTTGATATAGAACCGAATCTCCAGAAGGCAGAATACCCCATTTGCCTAGGGCAACACCATCATGAAAATCCGTTGCATAAATTTCAGCTTTTGCTCTTGCGAAATCAATTTCGATTTGATTTGCTGATTTTTTTGTCCGTGGTCGTTGCTGGCCAACTGAAACGCCCCAGCTGAGCACAGTTATGTATTCACGTCCACAAAAACAGATATAACTACATAGATATACATATATATGTAGATATTTTTTGAGTGTGCAGATCAAGTGAGTGCACTAAAAACGAATTTAAGTTAATCAACATTTAAATGGATAATAAAATCAGCGACTGCAGCCGCGAAATGCTCTGCGCGCTCTACAAAAAGTTGATTTATTTCGCGCCTCTTAGTTTTGCCTGCCGCCCCAGTGCAATCAATTCAATGTAGAACAGCAATAACAGAAACCGCAACAACATTACTAAATCTGCACACAATCTATATGCATTTTCGGTTGTGGATATATATAGATCGAGACTGTATATGATTTTGAATATGGTAGCAATACTAAGTGCACTTTTCACACGAAAATAATTTATTGACGCATAAAATTGGCCAAGATAATTGGCAACTTTTGGCAAGTCTAATTGATTTCTTGGTTTACAAAAAGAATATTTTCTATCGCTCGTAGCAAATTTGTCTTTGAACAATTTTTGCACCTTTGAGAAAATAATAATGAATGAATTTATTGGGGGTCAGGAAATAAAAGTACAAGTTAAACAAACAAATGAGAGAAATTTCGTTTATTAGCTAAATTTTTTAAGAATCAAATCTAAATTGGGAAAACCAAAAATATTTTGCCTTTAAGAGATTAAATTTGGTTTATTGAGTCAATCAATTCAACCTTACTTGGCAGGTTATCAATCCCAAATATTTTTTCAAGCGAATGGCACGTTTTGCAGTCAGTTAAAAAAAATTCTCTTATCTAAGTAAATTCCTCTCTTCACCATAGTAAAAAATCTAGTTAGCAAATGACTTAAATGAAAACAATTAATGGGTTTGAAGAGTGAGTTCGATTCGCAACGTTTGGAGTGCAGAGCAGACCACTGGAAACCATTCGGCATGGTGCCAAAAATGAGTCCCAATCGCCGCCTACCTATCTGAAAACAAACCTTATCGCCCAGACACGTAGATAACCGAAAAAAAAAATCCAAGAGAGAGGGCGACAACAAAAAACCACACGAATCGAAAATCGGAGCATATGTTTTCCCTGGAAAAGAGCAAAATTTTTTGGGAGGGCCGAAAAGTAAGTGGACCAACATTGTGTGTCTGAGTCTGGGAGTCCGAGTTTTGGTTCGGAGGAGTCTGTGCACAGCAGATGCTTTAAAGAACAGATTGTAAACGAATATGATCTTTCGATATGGTGCACACTCCTCGGCCAGACGACTACAACAACAGCAATAACAACAACAACAACAGGAGCCACAACAGAAACAGCAACAAATAGGGGTGCAATTTTTCAGTGTGTACGTAACGGTAGAATACACATTTAGTCGCTGCTCTTTTCTTTTTCTTTTTTTTTCCCAGCGCCTGGGCCCTTTCTTCGCTGGAAAGAAGGGATCTCCGATCCGCTGATGATCCTCGAAATGCCTGCCTGTGCACATGTGTTCTATCTGTCGCAGTCGCAGTTCGTAAGGGAGTGTGTGTCGGTGCGGAGTATCTGTGTGCCGTCTTGTCATGGGATCGATCTTGATCTCGGCCTGTCTGCAGCAGGTTGATACTTTTAGCATCGGTCCGGGCACAGAATCCCGGTTTAACGTGGCATGGGGCAACGAACCAGCCCGAAGATCCACTGAACTGTAATTGTCTGTGGGTATTTATGGAAAAGGATCTTGAACTGGTCTTAAAAAAAGAGGGAGAGAGTTGTACAAACAGAAGGAGAGACAGAGAGAGAGAGCGAGAGGGGGGAAGAACTGGGCTCAATTATGATCCAACGATCGTCACACATCAAATTATCGATTATGGCAATTATTTCTTATCATTCCCTTGCGTAATTTGTTGCAATTTAAGAGGTATGTATTTATATAAAGCCTTAAGGATCTACAACTTATCTTAAGAGCTACAAAATACACAGCTGCAATGGGGAAAGTATTGTTTTTAAATATTGTATGGGATCCACAAACCAAAAATTGCCATCTTGTAATAAGTACTTTGATTTAAATACCCAACAATATAATCCTTTTCGAACCGTTGCAGGTAACTCAAAGTGCAGACAGGAAAATCCCAATTATAGATTGCATGAAACCTCTTTGATTTTCTGTGTTCAAGGGTTCCGTATCTTTTTATTGATACTTAATTGTCTAATGCGATCGTTGTTCCACATTCTTGTCTCTCACCAAAGCGTTCACACATTCTCGATTACAAAACCCTTTAAATCGGTGGTCCGAAACGTAATCGAGGGGCAACCGAAGCTCATTTGCGGCACCGGAAGCTGTAAAAGGAACAGTAGTAATTTCGATCGGTTTCCCACAAGGGTTGTGGAAGTGCCCCACACAGGCTAAAACACACACACACACACGCGGGTAACTAGCTTGGCTATGAAGAGGTAGAAAACCAATTCAAATTCTGTTGGCCAACAACGAGTTTATAGAGGCAGCAATCCTGAATCGAGGCGCGATCGCGAGATCGGCAGATCGCTCGGTAGCCAAACCAGTTTTTTCCTAGATTCATTCAAGAAAACAGGCAACACCAACACAAAAAGGGTTTACATACACTATGAATAAAAATTCACATACTATTTGCCCCGAATGCAGCCAGAAATAAAATTCTTAAATATGATAACTGAGAAATTACCAACTCAAAATGATTAATCAAATAAATCGGTCGAACTAATGCAAGTTTATATTCCTTCAAAGAGATTGTTTTTCGAAAGTTAAGAATACATTTGGTAAATTAAAACTTTTATTTCGAGTGTAGAGAACAAAAAAACAAAAACTAATACTTGAACTACTGTTTTTCAACACTTCACTTTGCTTTTCTTACCGGTGCGGGGCAATAAAATAGCGCCCCTTGAAGACGGAAAGGCGGGTGATTCTGGGTTCTCGATTTGGGCTCTGGACCCTGGATTCCGTCTTTTGGTTGGGTTTTTATTAGGGTATCCAAATTAATTACAGCTTCAAATTAGGCGCACAATCTTGATGAAGTCGGGAGCAGCGATAACTATCTCTCGGCCTCTCTTTCTCGCTCACTGTTTTACACTACGGTGTATATGGTTTAACCCTCCGGTGGGATCAGCAGGTTGATTAGGGGGAGAGAGGGATTACGTGCCCGGGACAAAGACAAAACCGAAAGGAACAACTCAAGGAGAGAGATTCGGGATCGGTTTAGCCCGGCTTATAAGACGCGAAACGAGACAACCGAAAAAAGGCCGACGGATCGCACACAAACACAAACACATGCACAGGCTCACACGCGATGTTTGAGGAGATTTTTGTGGTTTTATGATGGATTTTGTGTAGAGATTTTGGCTTCCTCAGGTTCTTAACCGTTTCTTGCTAGGTTTTTGGCAGTTTTAACTATATAACGCGCGCGAAGATCTTTTGATTTGGTTGCTATTGCACTCACACACTTTGACTTTGCTTGGCTTGCAAAGTGTTTAGTATTTTTGTTATTAAATTATTCGCTCAAATCACATCTACCGTAGCGCACTGCACGCTGCCCGAAAGAGAAGACGGTCGACAACAAACTAAACGAACGCGAACGCGGCGTATGAACGATTTCAGATCCAGTGACGTCAGCTGCGCCGCCCGTTAACATGAACGTGAGTTCGAGTGCTGTTAGTTAACATGAACACAGTTTCGAGAGGAATTTGTATGGGCATTTGAACATAAACACAATTTTTAGTTGATTTTGTATGGACATTTTAACATGAACATGAATTGGAGTGATAGAGAGTCAAAAACAAACTGAACGGAGGCGGCAACAGGCGGCAGCGACGCCGACGTCAGCGCAGACGCAGCGTCGACGCCAACGCCGACGCACTGGGAGAACCCCGAAGAGTGCGAGAAAGAGAGCGCCAAGTGCCTGACGCAGCCTGTTTTTTTTTTGTTGCTGCTCTCCCAACTGATAACACCGCAAAATATGGCAAATAATGAAAATCGAGAGTAGTTTCAATTCCATCTGCTGGTCTTATAAATATTATTCACTTTTTTAATTGTCAGCAGAGATCACTGCAAATTGATAAACTGGCGTGGGCGATCTGAACTGTCTCTCTCTCCCTCATACTCCCACTAAAGCGTGCATCATGAGCGCAAAAAAAGAAAATCAGAATTACATATTTTGAGCAGCAAAAACAAAGTGTTGCTGCGACAAAAAAAAAGCAACAAATTAAAAAAATCTGCTTGCTCAGAACTGTGTGTAAATGTGAATGTATAAGTGCGAGAGTGTGGGTGTGTGCGGACGAGCGTTTTTAGCAAGCATTTAAACAGTGTCCAAAAACGCAAAAAATTTACATTTTTATTAAAGGGGAAATTAAAAAGTGTACTATTAGAGACAATTATTATAAAACTTGTAAGAATAATTTGGTAACCCTTAAAAATGAAATTTTTTAGTCTAAAGCCCATATACTACTGAAACGGGTCAAGGAAATAAAAATAATCTACCAATCGAGTCATATATTTTATTTTAATTTTAGATAAAATTCCAGCGCATGCAAAACAAGAGCTTGAGTCAGTGGCGGATCCAGGATTTTGATAAGGGGGGGGTCCAAAATTTTTTAAGGGGGGGTAGAAATTTTTTTTTTTCCCTTGAGATATATGCATAATTACCACGTACAGTGGCTCGAAGCTTATTTCGTGCAAGAACAAAATAAAATTTCAAATCGACATTGCTGCCAAACTAGAAAAGATATCAACAAAATTTAAACGCAGTAATTTAAAGAAACTCTTTATTAACTATTATGACAAAGAAAAAATTTACTAATCTACAAAAACAAAACAACTTTTCAAATAAAAATAAAAAACGAGGCACTTCTGACGTCGAAGCTTATTTCGTGCAAGCACTTTAATGTTCAATAACTTAACTATTTCTTAATTTTTAAACTTTTTTTTAGCTCCTATCCGTTTGTTAAGGGCTTTAAATTAATTTCATAAAGATTTCAACATTTTTGTAGTTGTTTTAACGTGTATTTTAGCCCACTTCTGCAGTAAAAAAATCTTCAGGTCATTTTCGTTGGAAAATCCACTTTTTCGAATCTCCAAGTCCAAAATTTTCAACAATTGTTCAATAAAATTTAAGTCTGGAGACTGTGTTGGCGTATTAATCCAATTGGGACAGTTTTAGATCAAGAAAGGGCTACAAAAAAGGGCCGGGTTGCACCAAACCAAATATTCAACGATCTCGAGGAGCGCTGTTTTGTCCGGAAAACTAAGGAACACCTCAAGCTATCGGTTTCAAAAATTGCTGCGCAGATTGAGATCGAAATTGTCAACAAATTTTACCTAAATACAGTTCGGAACATATTGCACCACCATAACTTTAATGATCAAGTTGCATGAAAAAATATATTCAAAAGTATACAAATATGATGCCTTGGGTCAAGTTCGCCATGGTGTTAGAAATTCGGCCGATTTATTTCTGGAATGACGAAATTTAAGCAGACGAATCAATTTTTAATTATTTTGGGTTGGTTGGAAGACGCTAAGTGAGGAGATGTTCTAATAGGAAGATGGAAACTAAAAAGTTAAAAGCAATGCATTGGCACGGCGGTGACCATGTCATGGTTTGGGCTTATATGGCTGCATCCTAACTAAGTTTTTATTGCCGGTATCATGAATGTTAATATATATTTAACAAATTACAAAGAAAGTTTGGTGAAAAGTGTCAATAACTTGGCTAAATGGAATCGATTTAGATTCAACCAAGAATATGACCCAAAGCCTATTGCTAGAAATGTTTGTTTTGGTTGATCTAAAACTGTCCCAATGGGTTTTGGCGGTGATACCCGTTACCACAGCAACTCCAAAACGATCATTTTCGACTTTGAGGAGAATGAAAGATTATCTGAGAAACACGATGGGTCAAGAGCGTCTCAATGGTCTTGCATCTTTGAACATTCATCATCGCATAACTTCGACTGAAGACGAAATTCTCAGAAAGTTTTTTGAAAAACCTCGGAAATTTAAGAGTGAATAGAACCGTTAGTGGATCATATGTAATATTTTTTCTTGATTTATTATTCGAAAATAAATTAAAATTTTTATAAAACATTCAAAAAATTACGAATTTTTATTAATAACTTGGTGTTTCAACTCCACCAACATGCCCAATAAAAGCATATAATTTGAAAGTATATGATCCCATGGGGGGGGTCCGGACCCGAAAACCCCCCCCCGTGGATCCGCCACTGGCTTGAGTATATTTTCCCACCGTGACCATGACAACCACTGTGTGTTCGAAAGACTCTCTTTCCCGCAAACCAAAAACAAAAAGACGTTTATATGTAGAGAGTGTTTGTCAGAAAGAGAGGGGAGAATCAGTGAGTGTGGTGGTTTTATATTCTGGCAACGCATTTCGCATAAATTACAAATTACACAGCATAAGCATACACAGCAAGTGCAGGGGCGGCAGCAACAACCAGCTGCACCCAGTAAAAGGGCAATAAGATTCGGGACACCGATACCCGATTCAACGTCCGATTTTCCTGGCTAAGGGACCCCAAAAAACCAGCCTTGCATAACGATACACGTGCAACAAAAATATGCCTGATTGTCAACCTCTGCTGCAATTTAATTGTTGCAGCAAGGTAAAAACTAAAAAAAAGGGGTGACAAGTGTAGAAAGAGAAATCGGCGCAAAGAGCGCCTGCGCGCAGTTTTCCACCTCTCTCTTTCGCTCTTTCGCGTCTCATTTTTACAACTCGCGTAGGTGAGCCGGATTTTTATGAATGAATGCACTGGTGTGCGTGAGTGCAACAGCGGTGAACTAGAAAAAATGCGCATTTTAGAAGTTGGGAAAATGCAATGGGCACACATGGCCAGCAGACCAACTCAAGTGGTCAGCAGCTGTCTAAAAAGTGACAACTAATAAAGCATTTAATGTCCATTACATGCAATAATGTTAGTACCCAAAAAGCAATAAAAGAAATTTGACCATTCTTTCTGACAGAGTACTATAGAAAACTTGTAAACTTTATGATAAATAATAAAACTATTTAATTGAATAAACGCCCATAAACCGCAAATATCTGTGGCGCTCACAGTTTTTGTGTAATGATTATTTGGATCATATGGATCATAAACAACTTTTTTCTTTTATTTTCAAAAATCTTGAATTGGCGCCAACTGCAAACACATTCTAGTGTTGCACAACTACTGCATGTTGGTATTTTCCCTAAAGCGTTAGTATATTTTCCAGAGTTTGCAGATTTTTGGCGGCAAAAAGTTATTTACAATCAATTTATTTGTTTTCGCAAAACAGCACGGAAATGTCAGACTTCGGCAAAGGCAAAGTGCTGCAAAATACTGGTAAATTCGTAAGCGAAAACCGTACGGAAGGGTGAGTTTTGAAAGTGCAACGATTTCAAGTTCTACAAAGGGGTTTCCCGATCTTATTTTCAGAGACGACTTCTACAATGAGGCGGGCTATCGTCAATCTCGGGAAAACGACAAAATCGACTCGAAATATGGCTTCGATCGGGTTAAAGACAGTCAGGAGCGAACGGGCTACCTCATCAACATGCATTCGGTGAGTTGGGAACTCTTTAAAATCCTGAAGATCATGACAAATATAAGGTGCTCCTCCGTAGAACGAAGTTTTGGATGAGGACAGGAGACTCATAGCCGCCTTGGATCTCTTTTTCATCCAAATGGATGGTTCCCGCTTCAAATGCACGGTGGCTTACCAACCGTATTTACTCGTCCGTCCGGAGGACAATATGCACTTGGAAGTGGCTCGATTTCTGGGCCGCAAGTATTCCGGTCAGATTTCCAGCCTTGAACACATTACAAAAGAGGATTTGGATCTGCCGAATCATCTGTCAGGATTGCAGCAGCACTACATTAAGCTGTCCTTTCTGAACCAGACAGCCATGACAAAAGTAAGGAGGGAACTCATGTCCGCTGTGAGGAGGAACCAGGAACGCCAGAAATCGAACACCTACTACATGCAAATGCTGGCCACCTCTTTGGCCCAATCCTCAGCAGGTTCCGAGGATGCCACGTTGGCAAAAAGGCAGCAGGATTACATGGATTGCATTGTAGACATCAGGGAGCATGATGTACCCTACCACGTAAGAGTGTCCATTGATCTCCGTATTTTCTGCGGCCAGTGGTACAATATCAGATGCAGAAGTGGCGTAGAGCTGCCCATCATAACCTGTCGACCAGACATCCTGGACAGACCAGAGCCCGTTGTCCTGGCCTTCGATATAGAAACCACCAAGTTGCCTCTGAAATTCCCTGATGCCCAAACAGATCAAGTTATGATGATTTCCTACATGATCGATGGTCAGGGGTATCTTATAACCAATAGGGAGATCATCTCTTCGAATGTGGATGACTTTGAGTACACCCCAAAGCCGGAATTCGAAGGGAACTTTATAGTTTTCAACGAGGAGAACGAAATGCAGTTGCTGCAGCGCTTTTTCGATCACATCATGGAGGTGCGTCCGCATATAATAGTCACGTACAATGGCGATTTCTTCGATTGGCCCTTTGTGGAGACTCGAGCTGCTGTTTACGACTTGGATATGAAGCAGGAGATTGGCTTCTCCAAGTTGCGGGAAGGTAACTACCTGAGTCGACCCTCCATTCACATGGATTGCCTTTGCTGGGTGAAGAGAGATTCCTATTTGCCTGTGGGATCGCAGGGTTTGAAGGCAGTGGCCAAGGCTAAATTGCGCTATGATCCTGTGGAACTGGATCCCGAGGACATGTGCCGCATGGCCGTGGAGCAGCCTCAAGTGCTGGCCAACTATTCGGTCTCAGATGCGGTGGCGACTTACTACCTCTACATGAAGTACGTGCATCCGTTTATCTTCGCCTTGAATACGATAATTCCCATGGAACCTGATGAGATCTTGAGAAAGGGTTCCGGCACGCTCTGCGAAACTCTGCTCATGGTGGAGGCCTACCACGCCCAGATTGTCTATCCCAACAAGCACCAGAGCGAGTTGAACAAGCTCTCTAACGAAGGACATGTTCTGGATTCGGAAACCTACGTTGGTGGTCACGTGGAAGCTTTGGAGTCGGGTGTATTCCGTGCTGATATACCCTGTCGCTTTCGTCTAGATCCTGCAATGGTTAAGCAACTCCAGGATCAGGTGGATGCCGTTCTGCGCCACGCCATCGAAGTGGAGGAGGGAATTCCCATGGAGAAGGTTTTGAATCTGGATGAAGTGCGCCAGGAGATTGTGCAGGGATTGCAGGGCCTGCACGATATACCCAATCGCTTGGAGCAGCCTGTCATCTATCACTTGGATGTGGGTGCCATGTACCCCAACATCATCTTGACCAATCGCCTACAGCCTTCGGCAATGGTTAGTGATTTGGATTGTGCTGCTTGTGATTTTAATAAGCCAGGAGTTCGCTGCAAACGCTCAATGGATTGGTTGTGGCGCGGTGAAATGCTGCCGGCTTCGAGGAACGAGTTCCAGCGCATCCAGCAGCAACTGGAGACGGAGAAGTTTCCACCTCTCTTTCCAGGCGGACCACAACGAGCCTTTCACGAGCTCTCCAAAGAAGATCAGGCGGCGTACGAGAAGAAACGACTTACGGATTATTGCCGAAAGGCCTACAAGAAAACGAAGCTGACCAAACTGGAGACCCGCACCTCGACCATTTGCCAAAAGGAGAACAGCTTCTATGTGGACACTGTGCGAGCTTTCCGAGATCGTCGTTACGAGTACAAGGGACTCACCAAAGTGGCCAAGGCATCGGTGAATGCGGCAGTGGCTTCCGGCGATGCAGCCGAGATTAAAGCAGCAAAGGGCAGGGAAGTGCTCTACGATTCGCTGCAGTTGGCACACAAGTGCATCCTGAACTCCTTCTACGGTTATGTGATGCGAAGAGGAGCCCGCTGGCATTCCATGCCCATGGCGGGTATTGTGTGTCTAACTGGCTCGAATATCATCACCAAAGCCAGGGAAATCATCGAGAGAGTGGGTCGTCCTCTGGAGCTGGACACTGATGGTATTTGGTGCATATTGCCTGGTTCCTTCCCCCAGGAATTTACCATCCACACGAGCCATGAGAAGAAGAAGAAGATCAACATATCCTATCCGAATGCAGTGCTGAATACCATGGTTAAAGATCACTTTACCAACGATCAGTATCACGAACTTAGAAAGGATAAAGAGGACAACCTTCCCAAGTACGATATCCGCGATGAGAACTCCATTTTCTTTGAGGTGGATGGACCCTACTTGGCCATGGTTTTGCCCGCTGCCAAAGAAGAGGGCAAGAAACTGAAGAAAAGATATGCCGTCTTCAATTTCGATGGCTCACTGGCTGAACTCAAAGGATTCGAGGTGAAGCGACGTGGTGAACTGCAGCTAATCAAGAACTTCCAGAGTTCCGTCTTTGAAGCTTTCCTCGCAGGTAGCACTTTGGAGGAGTGCTATGCATCTGTGGCCAAGGTGGCGGACTATTGGCTGGATGTGCTGTACAGCAGGGGATCCAATCTTCCCGATTCTGAACTTTTCGAACTGATTTCGGAGAACAAGAGTATGTCCAAGAAGTTGGAGGAGTATGGAGCCCAAAAGAGTACTTCTATATCAACTGCAAAACGATTGGCCGAGTTTCTGGGCGAGCAGATGGTCAAGGATGCGGGTCTGGCTTGCAAGTACATCATCTCCAAGAAACCTGAAGGAGCACCGGTCACCGAGAGAGCCATTCCCTTGGCCATTTTCCAATCCGAACCAAGTGTAAGGCGTCATCATTTGCGCCGCTGGCTGAAGGATAATACAATGGGAGATGCAGACATTCGGGATGTGCTCGATTGGAACTACTATATAGAGCGATTGGGAGGCACTATCCAAAAGATTATCACCATTCCCGCAGCTTTGCAAGGCTTGGCAAATCCTGTGCCCAGAGTTCAGCATCCCGACTGGTTGCACAAGAAAATGCTGGAGAAGAACGATGTTCTAAAGCAGCGTCGCATAAACGAGATGTTCACCAGCAGACCCAAACCAAAACCCCTGGTTACCGAAGAGGATAAACTGGCGGACATGGAGGATTTGGCTGGCAGGGATGGCGGAGAGGATGCTGCTGGACGTCCCATTGTCACCAAACGAAAACGTGTTCAGCTGGAGGAGAACGATGCGGAGGAGGCGCAACCACAGGCGACCACTTGGCGACAGGCTCTGGGTGCACCGCCACCGATTGGAGATACCAGGAAGACCATCGTGGAGTGGGTTAAGTTCCAGAAGAAGAAATGGAAGTGGCAGCAGGAGCGACGGCAGCGGAGTCGCCAAGCCAGCAAGCGAACCCGTGGCGAGGATGCTCCAGTGGTTAGGGCTACAGGATCTACAGCAACCTTGGGTGGCTTCCTGCGAAGAGCACAGCGCACGTTGTTGGATCAACCCTGGCAGATTCTGCAACTGGTGCCCATCGATGATCTGGGACACTTTACTGTTTGGGCGCTGATCGGCGAAGAGCTGCACAGGATTAAGTTGACAGTGCCGAGGATTTTCTATGTGAATCAGCGGAGTGCAGCTCCACCGGAGGAGGGTCAACTGTGGCGCAAGGTTAACAGGGTCTTGCCGCGATCCCGACCGGTTTTCAATCTCTACAGATACAGTGTTCCCGAGCAGCTTTTCCGTGACAACTCCCTGGGAATGTTGGCTGATTTGGCCACGCCCGACATAGAAGGTATTTACGAGACTCAGATGACGCTGGAGTTTCGAGCTCTCATGGATATGGGTTGCATCTGCGGTGTCCAGCGAGAGGAGGCACAGCGCTTGGCCCAATTGGCCACCAAGGATCTGGAGACCTTCAGCATCGAGCAGCTGGAACAGCGACCACAGACACAAGTCAAATATCTGGCGAGTGCCAACAATCGATTGCGCAAGATCTACTTGTACCAGCACAACACACCGACGGCGAAGAAGGAGATCTGGTCACTGATCCTGATGCCCAGCAAGAAGGCCTACATCTTCGCCTTGGACACCGTGCGCGCGAATCAAATGCCCAATATGCGACAGCTTTACACCGCCGAGCGTTTGGCCTTGCTCAAGAATCTGACTGTCGAAGAGCAGAACAAGATTCCCCTGGAGGATTACACCTTTGAGGTTATAATAGAAGTGGATGTGAAGCAGATCTACCGACACATCCAGCGGGCGTTGACCACCTACAAGCAGGAGCACCAGGGACCCACGATTCTCTGTCTGCAAACAGCGCTGGAGGCACGAAAACTCAGCCTGGCGATGCCCATCCTGCTGGAGTTCCCGCAGGCGCAGATCCACATCTCCGATGATGCCAGCCTGCTGTCCGGCTTGGATTGGCAGCGACAGGGTTCCCGTGCAGTGATCCGTCACTTCCTCAACCTGAACAATGTGCTGGACTTGATGCTGGACCAGTGTCGCTACTTCCATGTGCCCATTGGCAACATGCCGCCGGACACGGTGCTGTTTGGAGCGGATCTGTTCTTTGCCAGGTTGCTGCAGCGGCACAACTTTGTGCTGTGGTGGTCGGCGAGCACCCGGCCGGATTTGGGTGGCCGCGAGGCGGATGATAGTCGCCTGCTGGCGGAATTCGAGGAGAGCATCAGTGTGGTGCAGAACAAGGCGGGTTTCTATCCGGATGTTTGCGTGGAACTCGCTCTGGACAGCCTGGCGGTGAGTGCTCTGCTGCAATCGACGAGGATTCAGGAGATGGAGGGTGCTTCGTCTGCCATCACCTTCGATGTGATGCCGCAGGTTTCGCTGGAGGAGATGATTGGCACCGTTCCGGCGGCCACATTGCCGAGCTACGATGAAACGGCCCTCTGCTCGGCTGCCTTCCGCGTGATGCGCTCCATGGTGAATGGCTGGTTGCGCGAGGTGTCCATCAACAGGAACATCTTCTCCGACTTCCAGATCGTTCACTTTTATCGCTGGGTGCGTTCCAGCAACGCCTTACTGTATGATCCTGCTTTGAGAAGATCCCTCAACAATCTCATGAGGAAAATGTTTCTGAGAATCATAGCAGAGTTCAAGAGACTGGGTGCCACCATAGTCTACGCGGACTTTAACAGGATCATCCTTAGTTCCGGCAAGAAATCCGTTTCGGATGCCCTCGGTTATGTGGACTACATCGTGCAGAGCTTGCGGAACAAGGAGATGTTCCACTCTATTCAACTGAGCTTCGAGCAGTGCTGGAACTTTATGCTTTGGATGGATCAGGCCAACTTCTCTGGCATCAGAGGCAAGCTGCCCAAGGGAATCGATGAGACGGTGTCCTCCATAGTTTCCACAACCATGCGTCGGGATCCGGAACAAAACGAAGACGAGGAGGAGGACGAAGAAGAGGATGCGGAAAATCGAGATCCCGTTGAAAGTAACGAGACCGAGCAGGATCAGGAGGATGAGCTGTCCCTGGAGCTCAACTGGACCATTGGCGAGCACCTGCCCGATGAAAACGAGTGCAGGGAGAAGTTTGAATCCCTTTTAACTCTGTTTATGCAATCTCTCGCCGAAAGGAAGACCACAGATCAAGCCATTCGTGATATCTCGCATTGCGCTTTCGATTTTATCCTCAAGCTGCACAAGAATTATGGCAAGGGTAAACCCAGTCCGGCACTTGAGCTCATCCGTACCCTGATCAAAGCTTTAAGTGTGGACAAAACTCTTGCGGAGCAGATTAACGAGCTGCGAAGGAATATGCTGCGTTTGGTGGGGATCGGTGAGTTCTCGGACATGGCCGAGTGGGAGGATCCCTGCGACAGTCACATCATCAACGAGGTCATCTGCAAGGCCTGCAATCACTGCAGGGATCTGGATCTCTGCAAGGACAAGCACCGCGCCATGAAGGATGGAGTGTGAGTATACAAAAATTTAGATCTCGTTTACAAATTACTTCATTTTGTTATAATTTTCAGACCCGTTTGGCTTTGTGCCCAGTGCTATGTGGCTTATGACAACGAGGAGATTGAGATGCGGATGCTGGATGCTTTGCAGCGCAAAATGATGTCCTATGTTCTGCAGGATCTGCGCTGCTCACGATGCAGCGAAATCAAGCGCGAAAATCTGGCCGAGTTTTGCACCTGCGCAGGCGGCTTTGTGCCGCTAATTAGCGGCAAGGATATTCAAATTCTCCTGAGCACATTTAGCAAGGTGGCTACGAATCACAAGATGCAGTTGCTACAGCAGACGGTTCATCAAGCACTAAACACACCGCGGTGAGGAGATGTTGTAAGACAACAAAGCCTCTGCTTATTATATTAAAATAAATTATTGTTTTCCCGATTTTATTGGATGTTGTTGTTGTTGACGTAGCGCCCGAGGATTTGGTGGCTCACAGACGAAATCAGCAGCATAACTTAAAGCAATTAGACTATCTCATAGGCGAGGTGCGATCTTTACTGGGCAGCCTGGGTGATGGGGTCCACCTTGACCTCGGGGAACTGGAATTCGGGGAACTTCAGCATGTCGGTCTTGCCATCGCTGCCGTATTGCTTGGCAACACGGTCCAATTCGGTCTTCAGCTCGCGCTCAATTTCGGGGTTCGAGTCCACCAGCTTGCCGCCACTGGATATCAAAATAATAATTATTAATTTAAAGGTAAAACGAATATTGAGTATCCAAAACATACGCGCTCTTCTGCTTGTACTCGCGAACTTTGTCAAGAAACAGCTGCTGGATGGGATCGGAGGCCTTGTTCAAAGCGGGGGCCACAATTCCGAAGTTACGGCGGGCCTCGGTGCGCAGGACACGCATGCCACTCAGCAGGGATTGCGACAACATCTAGAAATTATAGAATTGTGTTAAAATAGCATATTTTGGCATCTTCATATGTAACCTTAAAAAGGTTATGTAATGCAAGTTGTTTTTTCGCGGTTTTCTGGAGAGATATGGTATTGATTTTAAATGTTAGCCCCACTATGTCTCAGCCAATACTCTTAAAAATAAATTATTGTATTTTAACTGTTATTTTCACCTTGTTTTTCTTGGCAAATGCAAACTTTCGTGCGGAAAAGTCTCAATTGTCGGTTCACAATGACAGTTGGGGTTAGCGATGGGCTCGTGACCGATATTTGCAACATTGCACGGACAGCAGAGATCAAAAATAAATGTTTCTTGTCTAATATAAAAAAACATGCTAAAAATATTATCTTATAATTTTTAATGTTCAGGATAATAAGATCAGTCGATTATATATATAGCTTTAATTGTATATTATATTTGAGCAGTTGGTAAATACATTTTACCATTATGAATGTTTGTTGGCAATAACAATACATATTTAAAGAAATATCTTGTAAAGTTAATTATGTATATATAAGATCAGTCGATTTTATATATAGTCTCTAAAATATATTAAAATTTAAAAATATCACGATTCCCACTCATCTCCAGCTGAATAGGAGCAGTTGGTAAATAATACCATACCTAAGTGCTAAGCTCTGGTCACACTGCTCATCCAGGTTCCACGTCAAGCGCCGGAAAAAAACACGACTTGCATTTAATAAATTTATCTGGCGACCGAACGAAAGGATTTCGAGCAAGATGGTGAGCCTGCTGCAGGAAATCGACACCGAGCACGAGGACATGGTCCACCACGCCGCGCTGGACTTCTACGGCCTGCTCCTAGCCACCTGCTCATCGGACGGTAGCGTCCGCATCTTTCACTCGCGCAAGAACAACAAGGCACTTGCGGAGTTGAAAGGACACCAAGGACCCGTGTGGCAGGTTGCATGGGCCCACCCAAAGTTTGGAAACATCCTGGCTTCGTGCTCCTACGACCGCAAGGTGATTGTCTGGAAATCCACAACGCCCCGGGACTGGACTAAGCTGTAAGTAATCGCACACACAAGCACGGGCGCACCGACACTCATGCAGATAAACAAGGCGGTGGTGATTGAAATAACGAATAAAAAATGCCCATTAAATATAAAAAATTCTGTACAAGTAAAAGTATTTAAAAGAGATTTGTATTTTAAAAATGCAAAGCAGAAGATTTATAAAGATATACTCTATATATATGTTTATACACGATATGCTATCCATAACAAATACCCAAAAGAGCAACTCTTTAAGAACTGGGTACCAAAACACATACACCCGCACTTGCTTGTATAAACGAAGAAACTATGTCATACATATGTTTGGACCGTTGTTATCATCTAATGTCTGCCACATCTCTAACCTTTCCGCTTGCCACATTTCAGGTACGAATACAGCAACCACGACTCGTCGGTGAACTCGGTGGATTTCGCCCCATCGGAATACGGATTGGTGTTGGCCTGCGCCAGTTCGGATGGGTCCATTTCGGTGCTGACCTGCAACACGGAGTACGGCGTTTGGGATGCCAAGAAGATACCGAATGCCCACACCATCGGAGTGAACGCTATATCCTGGTGTCCGGCCCAAGCTCCGGATCCGGCCTTTGACCAGCGGGTTACTTCGCGTTCAACGGCCATCAAGCGTCTGGTGAGCGGAGGATGTGACAATCTGGTTAAGGTCTGGCGCGAGGACAACGACCGCTGGGTGGAGGAGCACCGCTTGGAGGCGCACTCCGATTGGGTGCGCGATGTGGCCTGGGCGCCGTCGATCGGCCTGCCACGATCGCAGATTGCCACAGCTTCGCAGGATCGGCATGTTATCGTGTGGAGCAGCAACTCCGATTTGACTCAGTGGACCCCGAGTGTTCTGCACACATTCGACGATGCCGTGTGGAGTATCTCGTGGTCGACCACCGGTAACATTCTGGCTGTCACTGGCGGGGATAACAATGTCACGCTGTGGAAGGAGAACACCGAGGGCCAGTGGATTCGCATCAACTACGAGTCGGGCACCGCCATCCAGTCCAAGCAGCCGCACCATCCCCATTCCCACTCTCAACAGCAACAGGCGCCGCAGCAGCATCAGCAACAGGGGCCCTCGCATCCTGGTCCATCCTCGGACTCGGAGCACAGCTCTAACCTGTCCAACTCGCAGCTCTCAAACTGAGCAATCCCTGAAAAATCGTGCTGAGTCGTGGTCAAAATGTTATCTTACAATTATTAATACAAAATACAATTTAGTGTTCCCCATCTAAACTGTGTTTTGTTTGTTTTTAAAGTGTGTCACAATTCTGAAACAAACTGCGTTTAAAACTATTCTTTTATGTTATGTTATGTTAAATTTTTTTCTAGAAAAATGAAAACAAAAATATGCTTCTAAATTCAAAATAAATAATTCAATTTAGGGCTATGGTTCTTATTGGTTTGTGAACGGGATAATCTTTAGCAAAGCTCTCTACCACATGACTAGTTTATATGTCGGTATGTTTTTTTGTTTTGTAGTATATTTTGTGGGTATTTTCTAGCACCCCCCGCCGGTCACACCTTCTCTTTCTTTTCTGCTCACCACGTTTCCGATTCGACGTCAAAATGAATGCGACCCTTCCGATTTCCAAGAAACGCAAGGTAAATGGAGTTAAATCAGCCAGGATAACGATCAGGATACTGTGCTGTGTGCGCCCGCAAGCGGTTGTCTCGAAGTTGTGTTAAAAACCCGGCCGGAAAGTGCAAAAACCCTGTGGTTCGGAGCTAACCTCAAAGCGGATGGGCGTCCCAAAAATTTTGGAGCTCGATGGCGCGTGGTGAAGAACAACAACAAATGCAGGCGTTGTATAGTATTGGATCGGTGCTAATAATGGTTTCCTCTTGTTTCCATCCAGTTCGTTTCCGATGGTATCTTCAAGGCTGAGTTGAACGAGTTCCTGACTCGCGAGTTGGCCGAGGATGGTTACTCCGGTGTGGAGGTCCGTGTGACTCCCTCTCGTACCGAGATCATCATCATGGCCACCAAGACCCAGCAAGTTCTGGGAGAGAAGGGCCGTCGCATCCGAGAGCTCACCGCCATGGTGCAGAAGCGTTTCAACTTCGAAACCGGTCGCATTGAACTGTACGCCGAGAAGGTGGCCACTCGTGGTCTGTGCGCCATCGCTCAGGCTGAATCGCTGAGGTACAAGCTCACTGGAGGATTGGCCGTCCGTCGTGCCTGCTACGGTGTGCTCCGTTACATTATGGAGTCTGGAGCCAAGGGCTGCGAGGTCGTCGTCTCCGGCAAACTGCGTGGTCAGCGTGCCAAGTCCATGAAGTTCGTCGATGGTCTGATGATCCACTCTGGAGATCCATGCAACGACTACGTCGAGACTGCCACTCGTCATGTGCTCCTCCGCCAGGGAGTGCTCGGCATCAAGGTCAAGGTCATGCTGCCCTACGACCCCAAGAACAAGATTGGCCCCAAGAAGCCGCTGCCCGACAACGTGTCCGTCGTGGAGCCCAAGGAGGAGAAGATCTACGAGACCCCCGAGACGGAGTACAAGATCCCGCCACCCAGCAAGCCCCTGGACGATCTGTCCGAGGCGAAAGTTTTGTAAACCTAGTTTTACTGTTCATCCAATGAGCGACTAGCTTAAAGAGTTGCCCTCAAATACAACAAATTGACAGAAACAAAACAAAAACACACATAATTCAATAAACACAACCAATAAGTAATAACCCGGAGAAGCATCCAGTGCGGACCTAATTTGTGCAGTGCAGTGTAGAGTGCGAGGGTTGGCCCTAAAGTTTTCAAAGTCCGTTTTCCGAAATTGTTTGCCGCTTACATTTAATGGGTGCATTGTTTAGGCAACTATTCTAAAGTTTTAAAGTTTATTTAAACTGCAGGTATCTGCGTAAAAGTTTTATTATTTTTTTTAACGCAAGCAGTTTTAAATCAAGATAATTTGTGTCGAATTCATTTGAATAGAAAATATTTGTTTATTTTTTGAGACATTTTTCATTTGCTTAGTTTTTGCATTAGCTAGAATTTTAAAAACGGATAATTTTTAGTTGTAGCTTACTTATTTTATGTTGCAACTGCAAGGGCATTTAAACTTCGGCTTACCGATCTTGGCTTCCTTTCTTGTTTCGTTTCGCCTTGGCGCATTTTATTTCCATTTCTTGTGAAGCGGAAATCAGCGATTAAAACGGCTCACAGTTTGTCCAGTTGGCTGCTGATTTATGAGGCTGTCCTTCGGGCAACATGAGTGTCCGGTGTGTGTCTGCGCGTTTCTGGGACCTCTGATAACCCGCTCCTCTTATTTATCATGTTGATATGTTTATTTCCCAGCTGGCACAGTGACACGGCCCCGGGCAATTGCAGCGTGAAAATCAACAATCGTTCAATTTATCAACATTTGCGAGATTATAACAGCGCGCGGGAGAAAGAGGTTTTGTATTTATTTATTTTTTTTTGCTTTGCCAAGAGTTCGTGCCCGTTTGGAACGGGCTGAAATCGCAGCTGCAGCACACGATCCTCGATCCCGATGACAAATGGCCACATGCAACACTCCTCCTCGTCCAGATGGAGGTGGAGCAAATTTAGGAGGAGGAACAGGCGGCTTGTCTCGGCGGCATCACGCATCAAGTTGCGATTTGCGCCATAAATCTAAATTAGCTGGCTCTCGTAGGAGAGTCGCCGCGGTTCCTGGTTGGTTGCACTATGGCCAAGGCTCCTCCACTTGCCCCAATCAATTAGGTGCACATAAAAGCAGTCGAAACAAATTTCCAGGCCATCTGCTGCGACTGTGAGAAATTTTTACTTGGCTGCAATTGTTCTGGCCATTGTTGTTGCGATCTTGTTGTTGCGGTTCATTTCAACGCTGGCATAAATCATAAAGAACCTTTTAAACACGACTTTGAACGTATGATTTCAACACAATTTGTAAATAAATTAGATCGTGATTATGGCAACATCAATATCGCCAGCAACATCAACATCAGCAGCGGCAGCAATAGCAACAGCAACAGCAATAGGCATCCCCGCAGCAGCAACATTATTAACCGGCCAATGTCTGGCATGTGTGGCTGCCATAGCTCTCCTACTAACTATATATTATAATGGTACCGAAACAACAAAGCGAAACCAAAACAAAAACTCAACAATTGCCGTCAACAAGTCTGCGATGTCGGCGGCAATGTGTTGCTGGTGTTGCTAGTCCATGTTGCTGTTGTGCGCCAGAGTGCAACATGCATATTGTCTGTCGAGGCTGCGCAGGTTCATAACTCGCTTGTCAGCTGCCAGGCTGAGTTCTGACAAAGCCAGGAAAAATCTGGTAGGACACTAGCCTTATACACTTTAGATTCTACTTTTAAGGAGCCCTAACGCTTATTCGGTTTGATGTAAACATTTGAACATATTCCACAGAATACTTTACTTTTAATTTAGGAATTCAAAATATGTTCAGGATTGAAAGGAAAATACTTTTCTTATTCTTGAATTTTGAATTCATAAAAACTGTTTTAATAGAAATAATATCCTGTGCTCTGCAAGGGTATAAAAAGATTTTAGATAAAATTATATGAATATTTCCTATCTTGTCCACTTCCTGGCATTTCAGATTAAATCCCATAGCCAATAGACCCCATTTCCCATAGCAAGTGTACAATAACAATGCATCGTAACTGTAATAGTTGCAACTATTTTTGTTAGGTTGTTCGAGCCTGACTATATTTGCTTTGATTTACCAACATTATTATGAGGTTTTGTGTCATGATTTTGCCATCATTATTTAGCATTAAGAAACGATGGCGCGTAATGTGTTTTTCATGTGAACTGCCAGGCCAGACGACATTTATCATCATCATCGTCCCCATCAGATGTTGGCTCCGCTTGGATTTGGATTTGGATTTTGTTTAGCAGTTGCAATTGCCGTTTGCGGCTTGCAGTTCGGAGCCAAGAAGCTGAGGATCCAGTGATCACTGGTAATAGCCACGTTTGCCGGCCTCCTGCACGATTGTTTGCAGCGAGGCAAAGGCTTCGATGGCCGTGGGTTCGATCTCCTTGGCGGACAAAATAAACAGATCCTCGCTGTCCGCCGGTCCACGTAGCTCGTAAGAGAAGGTGATCGGTATCTTCAGGTGACCATGAGCCCAATCCTTTGATCCACCAGCCGAGGGATAGATTGTTTCGTAAATGCTGCCACTCTTGTAGATTCTACCGCTCACATCCTTGATCCGCTGAGCTGCCAGTTGGCCAATCTCCTTCAGATCCTGGTAGTTTTCCACGCGCTCTGCACTGTGTCCATAGGGAAACATTATCATCTGCGAGTAGCTATGCAGAGCTATGAAGGTGCGTATGCGATCGGTTTGAACGTGTTGTTCGAGGAACTGAACAATCCTTTGGGTTTCCAGCTCACTGCCAGCCGATGGTCCAGAGTAATCATAGCGACAGGGATCTCCACTTGCTCCTGTTACGTTCCAGTGGAAGGGGAAGTTCCGATTGAGATCCACTCCACGGCAGATTCCGAAAAGAGCACGGTTCTTACGCCACATGCGATCTCCTTGGAAAGTATAGCGATAGCCATCGGGATTCACTGTGGGAAAAATGTACCAATTTTGGGATCGAGCCAAATCCTGGATGGCAGGATCCTCAGAGTTTAGCAGTTGGTCGATGATGTAAGTGGCTGTAGCTGGAGCAATCCACTCACGAGCATGTATGCCACTTTCCACAAAGACACTCGGTAGATTCTCCTTGCCAAAAGCAATCTTCACACCTTTGATGGGCAATCCCTGAGTGCTGGAACCCAAATCCACCAGGCTAACCACATCAGGTCTCTTTTTGGCCAAGTTCTCCAGCCAGGCGTAGATGTTCTCCAGTGGATGATAGCGTATCCAGTCGAATTGTTCGGGTGCAGTTCCCTCGGGAGCCACCTCGCGATAATTGGCATCGATCAGAGCCTGAAAATTGTGGTTCAGCACCCTGTGGGTCACATTGTAGCTGTGCACCAGGTCATCGAAGTCAGCCACCTTGGCAGCAGTAACCATAATGGTAAGTTTTTGACCTGGCTTGCGGGCGTGTCCCATAAAGGAGCACGAATCGCTGGCCTGTTCCAAGGCTTGGAAAATCCGAACATGCTCTTCGCTGGCCAATTCCACTTGGTAGATGCGAGTGTGGTCGTAACGGGCTTGAACTGGAGCAGCAACTGGCTTGATCTCCTCATCCAAGGCACATTGATCAGCTTTGGTGCAGAAACTAGCTGCCTTGGACTGCTGGATGATACCCAATGTAATCAGGAGGAGCAGCAGAAAAATCGGCTTTGGAATCCATAGAGGTAACATCTTTAATCCTCGACTGTCGAAATCTATTTAAAATTTTTCCATTTCGCTTTGTCTATTACACAGACACAAAAAGAAATGGTGATAAGGAAAGGTAAAAAGTTGGCTAAATCGACTAACTGACACCTTGGATTCTATTTTTGTTTTATAAACAAAGTGAGCTAAACATAAATTAAGTTATTAATTAAAACTTCACATTATCAGTATTACTACATTCTTTAATAAAAATGTTTTATTTCTTTTTTTTAATATAAATTCTTCATAACGTTTAAAATATTAAATATATTTTATGTATTCTTTCAAGCTTTGAAAAATTCTGTATAAAAAAAGAAGGTAATAAATGGAGATTAGTTTTATAAACTCTTCAATTAAATCTCTTCAAAGGGTATCGACTAAATCTACACATTGAAATCGATGCTGTGACATCGACAGCGAATTCTCCCATGTATGATAAGCTTCACACGCCCAAGCTTCTCCAACCGAGCTTTCATTTCTCAATTCATCTCCGTTCTGAGCCGATCTACCTGATCTGGCCGATCTGGCCGATCTCCCGATCCCCTGCTCCGCGCCGGCGGGCAATCGGAGTCAACGATTTATGAGCACCTTTCATAACACTTCATTAGTTACATTTTTGGTAGAATTTATAGCGCAATTGCAATAGGAAAACGTTTAACGAGCTTGTTCTCGAGCGGGGAGACCGCGGAGCGGACCAAATTTGGTCGGCCAATTGCCTCGATGGCAACAAGTGGATGGCGCAACATGAGTCCAAGTCCAGTGCCGTTTGCAATGTTGCCGCGTTGCCGCGTTGCCATGTTACCATGTCGCCGAGTTGCGTCTTCGTTTCAAGTTGGCTTGCCAGCACAGGAACCAATTAAACTCAACGTGCTCAGATATTTGGCGCTGCTAATGGAGCTTAAATGGTAATGTGGTCCAAGGCTTTACCGCGGAGATCTTCTCCATTGGCTTTATTGATATATTTCTAGACCAAGAATTTGGGGCTTCGTTGCGAAAATTTTCGGAACGCTTAGGAATTTTAAGCATTATTAAAATCACTGCCAAAGGTTGTCGAAGCACATAATTTTAATAATATTTATATACCATTGTAAATATTTCCGTTAAGTTTGCATGCTCCGTAGTCAATGTTCTTATTAACTAGTTGTATAATTTGTAAATGAATCTTATTGTTTTCTCACTCAATTTACAACTCTATAACGTGGTGTTATGCAACTGGCATTGCCACTGCTACTCCACCATCGCAATCCATCCATCCATTCCGTTCATAAAATTCATTTCTCTTAATTGACTTAACGTGACTTGGACTTGAGAAAAACCAATTACAAAGCCACATTAATATCTGGCAACAATTTGCTGCCTTTTGAGCAACACAATTTTGTGCCTGGCATGCAACCGAAAATTTTAATTAAGAAAATGATTTCAGGATTGGGGGTGGTTGGGGCAGCAGGTTGTTGTTATTTTTTTATTTTTTTGCAGCGTGGGCGGCTTATGCACAACATAATCTTATCAAACATTTTGGCAATTAATTCGACAGAATGACAGCGGGGTTATTGGGGGAGTGGGGAAAATTAGAGCCGCAATACAGAAGCTGCCGAATGGCCTGTTGACCATAAATGCATTTTAATTTCTTAATTTACCACAAACTATAAATCATGGCCTTAGGTGTTTTTGGCCATATAATGTAAGCCACCTTGCAGTGGCATTCGCATTCGCACCATTTTCCACCATTTCGCAGTCGCTATGGAAATGCCTTCCATCTTTTTCCGCTGATTTTGTACACTACACCGAAAAGAGTTAACTGTAAATAGGTTTTTAACAAGATGCCCGTTCGGACTTAAAAAGAAAATTCGAAGAAAATTTTTTTATAAAATTCCTGTGTATTTTTTATGATTTTTTTTTCGTGGGGCTCATGGCATAAAAATTTATTACTTTTGGTTGCTAACAAATTCCTGTACTTCTGAAGAGTTGTTAAGATTTTTATGTTATCAAAAGAGGTCGCTGTTTTTCAAGACTCAGTTCTAGTTAAAGTTTAAGGCTCGGTTATTAATTGAGTTTGCCATTGGGGAATACTTTATTTTGCGCAGTGTCTCTTTCATGGTAGCTGGGGTGTTGTAAAAATACCAAAAATACCTGGCAGCCGTGTTGGTCACGTCGTGGCCGCCTGTCTGGACCAGCGGCTTCATTAGGTGATGCTTGTACATATTAATTAAAATGTGTATCCCGCCGATACACTCGTATAAGTGCACGGGCGAGTGCCGTAGATGGTGGGGCACTAAATCATCTCCCCTGGCAATGCAACGCGACTATTTGCACTGCTTTCGCATATGGAAATCGTTGCAACACGCCGAGTTTTCCAACTGTCCGCTATGTTTGCGTTAATTGGCAACACTTTCTTGGGGCCGGGCAGCCAAAAGAATGAAGTCCAATTCAAATTGAACAATTACAATTACGGAAAAATCTCAGTCAGCCGGCGTTTGGCTTTTTCTTCAATTTCGGCCACATAAATCAAGGAAATGTCAGAAATTTGCCATGACTTGTCGCGCGTCTGGGCTTTGGCCGCCAAATTAATGCAATTTTGTGTAAATTACTCATTAAAAACGAAATAAATTTCCAGTGGAAGGCATAAATCACGCCTTATAGAGCGGTACAAGCCACACACACACATCACACACAACCACACACAACAAAACACAAGCGGCAAATGGCAAACAAAAAACGAGCTGAAACCTCAGCGAAACAAAAGTCTCGATTACCCGGCCAGGTTGTAAATGAAATTTTCATTTTGCCAGGCAATCGACGGGGTGCTTTGGGGGGAAAACTCCAATTAGATATTTTATTGCTAATGTGAGCTTGTCAGATCGCCCGAGCCTGGCCAACTCGAGTGTCCAGCTCGGCTGTCCAATGTGTTCGGTGCCTGTCTACATCAATTAAAAGCGCATTTGACAATGATATTTATACTTGGGCTCGGTCCTCGGTTTTGGGTACCAAGTTCGGTAATTATAGATCAACTGACCACCAGTGGAAAAGTGTGCTCTTTCGGAAAATGTTATATATATGTTGCACCAACAACTGGAATGATTGGGCAAATGTCCCGGTGCTTTGTGTGTGTTTTTGGATCGATACAACATTGTTGCAACGCCAACCAGCCAGGCAGCAAATTATCAGCGGGCCAAAACAAATGTAAAAATGTTTGAATTCGTAACAAACACACTCAGTGGCCATATTTGTTTGGGCCCAAACTAATGACGTGGCTTGCTGGCCGGTGTTTTAATTGTGAAATGCCGTGCAATAAATTGCAAGATGGCCAAAAAACCGAGTGAACCAGGCTAGCGCACGGTGGCATAAATCGCAAATACTTCGTTTAAAATTGTCCATTAATGGTTCTGATCCCTAAACATATAATGTATAAAACTTTTCTATTCGAGATTTTTGTTGAGTTTTCTATAAGTGAGCCATATCTTTTAAAAGCACTAAAATGCGGACACCCATAATAGCCAAAACTGGCAGAATCGAACTTTAATCTTTAAGTTTTTATTTCGGACTTACCACTTACTGATTTGTGGCAAAAATTATCTACCCTTTTCCCATAGTAAAGTGAACCAGAGCGAGCCCAATATCCTGAGCGCAACTGCAATTCAATTACAGCTCAATTTCATGGCAGCAGCAGAGAGCCATGGCCATTTAGAGAGCACGGCGACAATTTGTTTATGGAACCGCCGCGGACTTTAAATGGTCCGGTGCATAAATCACTCGCTCTTGGCTCCGATCAACCCCGATTGTCAATTGGCAATACGTATCGCCTGTAATTGGGAAGGCGGAGTTGGGCCCAAAACATCACCCACCAGCAATAGTAACTTGGCCAAGTGGCTGCTCCTCCTCGGCCACTGGCTGCTGGTTCACAGCAATTTCGCATGGCAAAACAATTTGCATGGCTCGCTGATCCACTTGCAATTAGACTGGCGTGTTGCCCTCGGGACAGCGGCAACATCAGCCATTGTACAGCAGCAACATGCCGCAGAGTTGCTAACTGTTGCCACTTAATTTCTTAATTCCCCATTGCGTGTTGTACCTACTGCTAATGACATCATTTGCCGGCCAAGATCGGCAACATGGCAAATAGCTAATGCTCTATAGGGATCGATATCCGAGGAATTGGCTCGGGGAAATTCCTTCAGATTAGTGGCTTCTCAACAGAGCTTGTATTGTCCTTTGGCCTGGCAACTGGCGGCAACAAGTGGCACATTGCATGCCTGCGACTCGCTTGCAACACACCAGCAACTCTGACCACGAGCAACTCATAAATGTGGCCGACACAAGGCAAACGCAAAACGACTTCCTGCTCCTCGAACATGTCATGGCGGGCCAACAAACATGCAACAAACCTCACATATGTGGTTGTTCTGCACTTGGGAAAAATTAAGAATCTAATAAATAAATTCTAAATATATTTAATTGAACGTTAGTGTCTCGAAAGAATTGGCATTAACTATCTGAAAGTACAAAGTCTATAAATGAATTATTTTTAACTGGAAACAACTTATTTGAAGTGATAGTTGTTTTTGTAAGTGTAGCACAATATTTCATGCACGCAGCCGCCTCTTCAAAAAGTCGGTTGCTGCAGTTGCTGGTGTTGCTGTTCCTGATGCTGATGCTGCTGCTTCATCTTTAGCGGCCTCTTCAGTCAATAAAAATCTCTGGCAAAAATGTTGCTTACGAAAATCCAACAACCACCGCATGCCAACATGATTTTTCTTGCTTTTTCATTATTGTATTGCGACATTTTTGCGTTGGTTGCTGCTCTGCGAAATCAAAGCACGCCAGCAGCAACAGCAACAGCAATAGCTGCACCAGCAACATGCACAGCAGCAGCAGCAGCAGCAGCATCATCAACGACATCGCAGCAACATGAAGGCGACGCTGGCAACAAATCGCTGGCGAAAAATGTGCGCGCGATAAATTTATGTTGGCAACATCAAATCGACGTAAATTACGCGACGCCTGGTTACCAGACTGCCAGTTAGCCAGGCGG